CTACAGGCCTTTCTCTAAGTAGTAATGGTAGCAATTCTCTGTTTATTCAACAAATATACATTCATTCAGTCAGGGAGCACTGGTGCTGTTATTATACTCAAATACATACAAGGTATCATCTACAGTTTTACAGCATAGAACGATTTATGTGATATAATAAATTTGAATCCCAACTGCCTACAAAAATAGCTGAATTCTTCTATAAGGTTGATATAATTGTTAGATCAAGCATTCAATGAATTCAATGTGTCTGTTAACCCATTCCAAGATAGTATTTGCGTTTTAGCAACTGCACACAGTACTGGATCAAATTTATTTAACTGTAATTGACAAAAACCTTTTCATATATACTACTGCTAAACTAGGCTCTCCCATACTTTTGTGCCTTTTATTTTTCCTACTTAGATGTAGAACTTTATACTTCTTCCTATTATATTCCATCCTATTCATTTTAGCCCACTCCTAAAGTCAGTTTAGAACTTTTTTGAATCTTCTTTTTCACCTCTAAAGTATTAATCATCCTAGCCAGAAACTATATTCATTAAATGCATCTTTAAGCTCCTACAGCTAGTTCAACAAGGTTATTGTTCCAATCAATGAGCATTCAATAGCATTCAGGAAACTATCAACAGAACAGATGGCCTTCACTTAGTAAACCTAATTGGGACTGGAATTTCCAATGCTAATCCTTAACCATTTTACATGTTTTAATTTGCAAATGTTAGTACAAACTGATCTAAATGAAATATAACTATTCTTGGAGACTTTTGTGAATTTATCTGTCAGAGAAATCCAAATATATTAATTTAGAAAAATAGTTACACGTATTTGTTAATAATCTGTGGAAAAAACATTTTTCCAAATTTTTTTTTCTGAATCTTGATACTTGATAGAGATTTTCTCCTAACTTTGAGTTATCTACAGCTCTGATGATATTTTCTAATCCCTCATCAACATAAATATATTGAACTGTACAGCAGCGGTCCCCAACCTTTCTAGCTTCACGAAGTGGCAACATCGGCAGTGTCAGCATCAGGGAGAAGATGATTTCATGTGCAGCCTAGATCCCCTGCATGTGCAAATGAAGCTTTGTCCACTTACACACCGCTTGTGCAACCTAGTTCCCAACAGGCCACAGATTGCTACCACTCCACAATCTGGGGATTTGGGCCCTCTACTGCATAGGATCTATAGCAGATTCCTACAGAATGTCATTTGAGATCTCCGACCAACTTGACATGGAGCCATTATTCTTTGTTCAACCAGTTCTATATCTATTGAATGGGAATACCATTCAGCTCATATTCAGTTATCTTCTTTACCAGAATTTCAGGGGAAATTTGTCAAAAACTTTGCTGAAGTCACTCCTGCGTTATCACTGTCAGCTAAACTATTCTATCAAAAGACGAGATCAGGTTGATTTTAGGTTTTTTTTTTCTGTTCAATCATGTCCAAATCTCGGAAACTGCCCGGACAAGTCCCTACAGTTTTCTTGGCAAGGTTTTTCAGAAATAGTTTGCTATTGCCTCCTTCCTAGGGCTGAGAGAAAGTGACTGGCCCAGGGTTACCCAACTGACTTCATGCCCAAGGCTGAACTATAACTCATGGTTTCCGGTTTCTAGCCTGATACCTTAATTACTACACCAAGCTGGCTCTCTGGTTTAAAATATTTATTCTTAACAAATCAATGGTGGTTCATGCCAAACAATGTATTGTTTTCCAAATCCTCACAGACTGATTATTTAATCTATTCCAGAATTTAGACAGAGTTCATGTTTCTATAGGCCTGCACTTCCTCTGCTTTTAGCTTTGGGGAAAATGAAACCATTACGTCAGAACAGTTCAAAAAGCCCCTCAAAGGGTCTTGCATGAGTTCCCTCTTTGTACATTATCCATGCAGAAGCTTAAATTAAAAAACAGAAGAGAAACTTGCTTGTATTTTCTGGCTTCAATCCTTAGCAGATTTAGGAGAAATTTAAAGCTGCTGATTTTACAGCAGCATAATCCAATTTACACATGATAATGTACCTTGGTTACTTTATTTAGTTTCTAATATGCTTAATAACTTAGGTAGATGATAAAGTTATTTACAACACATACATTGTAAAATAAAGAATAGTAAAAATAATATAATGCAATTAAAGAATACTTTAAATTGCATGTTTCTATCTTTTAATTAGCATAGTGTTTAATTCCATGCAACTTTTTTTTACAATCTGGCTGCTGCAATGCAGTATATCTAAGCAATTTTCTAAATAGGTTGTAATCATATCTAATTTTGGAATTTATATGGAAACAGCAAAAAGGCAGGAGATTTGAAGTGCTGAAATTTGAAGATTTTCTAAATAATGTCAATAATTGTCAAGTATATACATAGACAAGAGAAGACATTGAACCTCTGATTTGTAGCTGAATCAGTTTTAGAAGCCAGTATGGTTGTGGGATAACTCCCAACAGTCTGGCTATACAAGAATTCAGGTAAAATACATCTGTAATTCAGAAAAAAGAGACAGACAGTATTTGAACCATATGCTTACTCTTGATTACCCCTGAAGTATGATTCACTCAGCCCTTTTTATGTCTTTTTAGAGGAATCATAAATTAATTATATGCATAGGCTTCAGTTAACAAGCTAGGCTAAAATGTGACCCCTTTGTCGCTCATTTTGCAGTGTGAATCCAACTAGATTGCACTACTCCTTAGGGCAGTCTAAACAGGATCAAGTGGAACTACATATTACATACATACATGTATTATGTGCAAAGCTGATTTGGCAACAAGTTCCTTTATATATTTATGAATAAAGATAAAAACTAGAACAAGCTTATATAAAAAGTATAAGAAAAAGAAAAAAATCAAACAGAAAGCTAAAAGTGCAAGAAAGGAGAAAAAGTTAAAATAAAGAAAAGATACAAAGTGACTTCCAATCTTTTTTAAAGCAGTTACAAATTCAATTATAAATTTACCTCTTACTCTATAATTACAATATAATTCTTTCTATCATCTATACGATTTAATCATCGAAATAAGCAAGCCTCTGTTCATTTTTTTCTGTTTTAGGCAAAACAGAAAAGGGCTTCTAGTCACCAATAAGTTTCACTGAAAAAGTGCGAAGCTTACTGGGTAATTTTCCCATAAAAACAAAAAGAAAAAGAAAACGCACAGGAACGGTGTCTAAAGCTGCTCCAGGGAGAGGCACTCAGTCCCTGCTTTCTTTTTAGCATCCGCTAGCACCACCAGAACCTCGGTTAGCCCGATCCCGTCAACGAAACTCGGGAACGTTTAGAGTCGTCGTAGGAACGCCGCAAGTTTATCCGTACGCGCCACTTTCTTGGCCGCCCTCATTTGGCCGGACGTTCTTCGTCCACCTGAGCGAGCCAGAATCGGGCGTCAGCAAGCAAGAGAAGTAGAAGCCTTGCTACGCTTCTTCCGCTATCGAAACGAAATGACCGAAATGAAGGGGGCGCAGCGGACCGGATAGGCGCTGCTGTCCACGGCTGGTGGGGGGGGGACTCTTTCTCCGACCTCCGAGTTCGCCTCACTTACCTGGGGCGGCCGCCATGCCGAGCTTCACCTCAGACAAGTCGAGCTGCCTCCTTATGGCCGGCAAGTCAGCCGGAGGTCCTGCTCCAGCCTCCTTCCGGCGCTTGTGGGGAGACAGGCTCCTACCACGGCGACGCGACAGTTCTGGCGCCTCGGCGAGAACGGCCGGCTGAGGCGGCGACCACTTCCTCTCTTTCCCTTCCCCTTCCCCTTTTTCTGCGGCGGTAGAAAAGCGACGGGCGGCCCTGGCGGAGTTCCCACGATTAGGCGAATGGATCCCCCTTCGGTCAGCCGCGCGTGCCGGGCGCAAGTGGTTCGTTCGGCGCAGCCCAGGAACTGGGCAACTGGACCACCTCAGCAGGCTTCGGGCAGTTAAGTGTAGCCCGCGAACCGCTGTGAAGATGGGGAAAGCGCCTATCCGGGGAGCGGGATTCTTCGCTGCCGATCCTGTACTTCTGTACGATACTGTATACAAAATAAGTGGCAAAGCACCAATCTCAGTGTTGTACTTTAGTGCGTTGCATTCACAGCGAAGAAAGATAATTGCTACCATTTATTTTTACTTACAGTGCTTATAGGCCGGTGGTTCCCGGACTCTTTCAGTCCTTGGTGCTACAAACTCATCCTTGGTGCCCCCCACCCAGGGGTGGGATTCAAATTTCTGTGGACTGGCCTAATTTGAGTGTGTGGCTTGCAGATCATGTGAGTGGGTGGGCATGGCTTGGTCACGTGACTGGCTGGGGGGGCTTGCTGGCTGGGAGTGGCTTGGTGGTCACATGACTGAGTGGTTGTGGCCAGGTGACTGGCAAACCAAATACAAGTGGTCCTCACTTAATGGCCGACTGCTTAGCAAGTATTCTAATTTATGACTAGCCTCCCCAGAGCTACTTGACCTGTTTTGGAAGTTGTTTTTTTTTTAAACAAATTTTATTAATTTTCAAAGACAATACACAAACAAACAAAACATAAAACATAAAAACATAAAACATCTTTTCTGAAAGTTTCTGAAGTTACTTGTTCATCAAAGATGGCTTCTTCTTTGTCCAAATCATCTTGTTGCGCAGTCAGTTTCTCATAGGTGCAAATCACCATTTCTAAGAATTGAAAAAGAGAGCCAAGAGAGTCCTTCCCTTCTTGTTCCTCTTCTTTGTATTTTTTGAATTCAATTTTCAATTCATGCACAAGTGATGCCTTTGTAGAGAGAAATTTTTTTTTTCAGAACAACCACCCAAGTGTTTTTAGTCCTTCAAAGATAATTTCCGAAAGTCCCAAAGTCACCAAACAGTCCAAATGAGCTGTTTCTTTTAACACTTTCTTCTTTCTTCACTTTCTCTTTCTGGGGTTACTGTTTAGTTGCAATATTCCAGTTAAAATGTATCTTTTAGAAATCTTGTTAGTATTTAATGATTCTTTAAAATTCTAGGCAATCTCCTCCTTGCTTCCAAATCCTGCTCCAGTTCTTTTCCTCTCCCTTCCCACTTACAACAAAAGAGAATTTTTTTTTCTGTTCGCTGTCAACGTTAGGAAGGAGAGTGAAAAAAATAGAACTTTCCCTTTTAACTTCTATTCGCCACTTGTAAATCTCTGGGAACGATGTATCTTGCAAGTTTTAAGTTCCAGGGTACCTTCGTTGTTGCTTTGTCCCGGTCAGCAAAAAAATGTTCACTTCTTCTTAACTCCTCCTGCACTTTCTTTTCCGTCTGAGCGCTTCTTTGTGGCGGCCATTTCTGACCGCCGCTCTTACCGCCTTTGGAAAAGGGAGTTAGGGAAGAGAGGTGCGATATCTCTCGACCTTGCCAGATCCCCCCTGTCTTCACCACCTTCTACGGAGGTGGCTAGCCCTGAAGCCAGGTGGCTCAGGGCACTCCAGCGGCGAGCGCAGGCAGAAACCGCACACGATCACGGATTCCTGCCTGCCCCAAAGCGCTGCAAACCGGAAGTCCTCCTGTTTTGGAAGTTTTGACAGCCATGCACACACACACACACTCCCTCCCTTCTAACTCTGCTGGAGCAGGTCATTGGAATAGAATCGGCAAAGTATCTGTGATTAGATTCTAGTAGTGAATAGAATCTAATCAGAGATGCTTTGCCTATTCTTGTTTATTTGTTTTATTTGTATTTCTTTATTTTATGTTGCTGAATTGCATTGACATGTGTGTCCCTTCTTGTGCACAGCCCAGAAGCTTTTGTGATTCTTTGCAGCAAAAATTACCAACCTCTGGCTTTGCTCCACTTTTCAAACGCTCCGCCACTGCCGTGTTCTAGGTGTCGGCCCCGCAGGTCCACCTCATTGAGCCCACTGCACTGGAGGGACCTGCCCAAGAAAGCCCAAGCGGAGCAGTGCACCAAGTCAATGGGGTGAGCCTGAGAGAGAGAAAAGAAAGAGAGAGAGAAAAAGAGAAGGAAGAAAAAAAAGAGAAAAGGGACAGAAAGAAAATGGGACAGACAAAGAAAGAAGGGGGGATGGAAGGAAGGGACAGAGAGAAAAAGAAATAAAGAAGGAGGGAGGGAGGAGAAAGATAATATCTATTCTACTCCAATCACCTGCTCCAGCAGGGTTAGAAGGGAGTGTGTGTGTGTGTGTGTGTTCTCCTTGTAATTTACCAGTATATTTTGGTTTTCCTTCTTCAAAATTGGCACTGTAATACATTAGGGAAAAGTAATTTTTAGGGCAGAGGTTTGGTCCAATGGATCCAGTTTAAAGCCTAAACAAAATGTGAGAGCTTCCTGATAGTCTTGACCATGTTTTGTCCACAAAATCTTTAATTAGAAGCCAAAGATGTTTCAGTGTTCTGGCAAAGATGTTTCAATGTGGAAAAGGGTCTCTAAACTAGGCCTCATTTCAATCTGATGCATCTCTCTCTTTCTCTCGTTCCCTCTCTCTCTATCCCTTCCTTAACCTATCTGCCTATTTTTTGCCCAGGCAGGCCTGGGCTAATCCTGCATCATCCCGTTCCCCTTTTAGAGGCCCCGGCCCTTAATCTCCCCGTTTCCTCACCCACGACCGCCTCTTTCGTTGTCCCATGGCCATGACTTTACCTTCCTCCCACAGCTGGCTGCCAGAGAAGGCAACCCAGGGCTGAGCCATTGTTCTTGCTGGGCTCCCCGCCAGCCCATGTCACCCTTGTCATGAATACCTGCAGTGGCCACGTTTTTTTCGGTGTAGCTGGACTGCATAAATTAGGCATGACTCACTTAATCATCTTGCAACAGAATTCTGGGAGCAATTGTGGCTGTAAATTGAGGACCATCTCTGATATTATTTGCTGTAGCAAATAGGAAAGGGTATTTACACTGGTTCAATTGATGAACCTCATTGATAGAAAACCACTGTAGAATGAAATCAATTTTATTTATTTCCTATATTTATAGCCCACCTTAATTGTATATTACTGAAAGCTGTGTTCTCTCTCCTTTCTTCCCCACAACAACTTTGTTAGGTAGGTTGGCCTAAGAGAGAGTGACCCAGGCAGCTTTTATCTCCAATTTTGCAATTCATGGTTTCCCAGTTTCTAAGTCAAAATAAAGGACAAAGAATTTCAGAGAGCTGTTAGCAGAGAGAAACAGTATTAGAACAATATCTGTAAAGACACTGAAGAAACAGACATGGAAAACCAAGGAAAGTTATCCAAAAGTTCTCTGAACTCAGAAGGAGGTCACAGCCACAAATTGGGTAGTAAAGGATGCTAATGGACAGATAGTAAACAGTTCAAAGGAGATCAACAAAGATAGAAGAAGTACGCGAAAATACTATACTGTACAGTACAAATGTCACCATCTTTAGAAGATATTTCTTATATACCCTTTTCTTTCTATGATTGATAATAATTTATGAACTTTGAATGCTGCCCAGCTCTCAATGCCACTCTACCATGCATCTTGAAATCTAGCCCGGTGTAAACTGGAGATGCTGAAGGTGTGGTTAACAACTTAAAATTTGGTGTAATTTTACGATGCAAACCTAAACCATCAGGATGGCTAATAGGTTACCTAACCCAGATAATTAGGTTAACTCAGCTAACCATGATTTAGTGTGAAAGCCAGAGGTTTTCCTTTGCTTTTCAAAACCTGGCCGCCTTTTTGCTGGAAATCTTGGCATAACGAGGGTGCGTGCATATGTCTTGCTTTTCTCGCACTCCACCGTTGCCCCCCCCCCCCAGGAGACCCCCTTCACCCACCTGCGGAGGAGGCTTCATCTCCAGCCACTGCCAGAGGGCTCTGGGTGGTGCCGGGGAAGAAGTCCGGCTTTCCATCTCTCTCGTTCCGTGGCTCTGGGCGTCACTTGTTGAGCTTTCTGGGTGACTCGGAGACAGTGGTGGACCGGACCAGGAGAACCGCCCTGCCGCGGGTCCATCCCGCCAGCCGGTGGGAGACCTTCCTTGCAGCCGGCTTGACCCAGCCCAAGTGGGGACCTGTTGCGGCTCGGTGCAGGCAGCGCTTCTGGGATGGGAAGGGTGAATCCCGCCTGCAGTGCTGCACCGATCCCCTGTGCCTGCAAAAAACCTCCAACCACCACGTTTTTTTCGGTGCGGCTGGACCGCTGTGGCCGTCAGCGATTGTTGCCCGTGCACACGATGTCACATATGCGCAATAAGGACTGACTGGCCAGGGAACAGAGGAGAGGCGGAGAGGAGCAGGGCCAGACAGGGGCTCGTTTTACCGGTTCTCCAACTACCGGGAACAGTAATGAACCAGTAGAATCCCACCCCTGAATTGCGCCCTGCAAGGGGCCCAACTCCAGTGCCCCCCCTGGCACCTCTTAGCGCCCCCCTGCTGGCCCCCTTGCCTTTTAGCACCCCCCTAAGGCACCCCACCACCCCCCAGGGGGTGGTACCACCCACTTTGGTAACCACTGTTATAGGCTGTTCTAGTTAATCTACTAAACCAAATCTGAGCAGAGTGCAATTCCCAAATCATAAGAGTTAAAGTAATTAGTTTTAATCATCAAAGATTAGAGCTAAAATCATAATATAAAAGAATTATAAATATAATCAAACATTGTAACAACATAAATTACTCATCCAGAGGAGTAGTAATAGCTGCCCTGGCACTACGGCTTGATGAAATAGTCTCCACTGATTTTCTCAAGATCAAGAGGAAAAGTGCAGGCAACACAGTATCAGCTGTAATACTTGAGAAGGAATGTTTCACTTGATTCCATAGGTGACAATCTCTGATTGAGAGGATATGTGAATAGCTCACTGTATTAGATTTATTGGCAGGTAGATGATATAGAAAGAAAATGGTCCCACAAATATCAAGGCTCTGAACCCTGAATTTAAATATGACAACCTGCATCCTGAACTGCACCACAAAATAAACTGACGATCAGTGCAACTCTCAAATCAGAGACATTTTAAAGGGGCTTCAGGAATACTCATAACAGAAACTTCCGGTGGCACTTCCGTCAAGGATGGA